AGCTGACTTGCAACCGTCGGCAATGACAGTTGTCCCATGCACAGCTTAAGATGGGGCTAACCATAAAATCAGAGCAGTAACAGTAAAATGAGATTGTGCCATTACTACTGCAAGCCATTTTCATTAGGAAATGCAGAGCTGCTTTCATTGCACTCAAGCAAGGCTTGCAGGGAGCCAAAACACCAAGGACTGACATTTACTCCCTAAAGCACGGTGTAGAAGTTGGCAGCTCGGAGCCCATTGCGGAGCAGCCCGYGAGTACGAGCACCGGCAGCGTTACTCATCACGGCACACCAGGCACCGGCAACTACCGTCGGGAAGGACACGATGCGGATCGGGAACCCTTCCATAAAATCAGAGCTTGCAAAGAAACTTTCAGAGCAGGTTTGAGCAAAAAGGATCACATGGTAAGTGACTCCGTAGCATGGGCACGGGCAGCCTTCGGCCTCGACCCRGCGGGACATCAACCCCTGCTGCAGCTTGGAGAAACCACTGCAGGAAGAGGAAGGCTCATTATGCTCCAATTAACGCTCAGGTGCTTATCTGCCTTCAAATTCCCACCCACTAATAGATCTCCACCAAGGACACTCCGTGCAGCGCTGCAAGGCAGGACTTGCAAAGTTACTAGAGCCAGAGGAAGTGATAAACCCAGAAAGCAGCAGCAATTCAGTGCAGACCAAACCTCATTTCAGGAGGAATCCTCATAAAACGAAATCCGTGCTGAAGGATAAAGACAGGTAAAGCTCCCACAGTTGAGTTCAGGCCACAGAGATTCAGTTTAAATCTCTCAGCAGTTCTGATTTAATCAATGTATTTCAAAGTGAAATTAAATGAAGTCCATCTCCATCACAGGAAATTATATAAGCTATCACACTCCGCCATAGAGGTCCCCATAAGAAAAGCCATAGGAAATATTTGTGTCATCTCTAGTTCCATTTCTAAACGGACAATTCAGGCCCAGAGTATTATATTATTCCAGTTAAAAACCAAAAGAGGCGGCACAGAGAGCCAAGCTGCAGCCTTGGGCRCCGGGGGTTGCCCATCACAACTGCTGGGCGTTGGCTGAAGATTCCCTTGCAGGCAGCAGCTTCGAGGAGGAGACCAGGAACCCACCGCAGAAGCACTGGTTGTGCCACCAGCCGCACGCRGCAGCTCCACGTTCACGGCTGGGGCTGCTGCGCGCGCTGCTTTTAGATACCCCGCAGAGAGGTCGTCTCCTCTCGAGCCCAGGCTAAGCTGGACTCAATGTCTTGCAAGCGGCTGCCTCCTCCCTGGCGCTTAATGGCAGCCGCGTCTCGCGCAAAGCGGCGTCCGTGCAGCTCCGCCAGCCCGTGCCCTTAATCTTCCCTCCCAGCCCTCTTCCCATTAGCTGTATTTGCAGACTTAAGCATGCAAGTATTTTCATAAGGAACCTCAGACCCGTCCAAAGCCCTACAGATTAAGCGCCCCTCTAGAGCTGCTCCTTAAGGCAGTTCCCATTGCCCGTGTACATGGCACACGCGTGGCCGTACGCGCACTGCTGGGGAACCAGCCCCTGCCGAGCAAAGGGTTATCAGGGCCCTTCGAGCGAGAAATCTGGTTTCTGATGCCACGTTAYGCTTTGAAGAAAATTTAGCAGCTTTGTATTTGAAGCAGATGACTGTTACGTAAGGCATGCCGAGGCTGCTGCTCAAGCGCCGCGGCAGATGGGCAGCCCCTCCGCACGCGCGGGTGCGGGCCCCGGGAGCCGGAGGGACGCGCGGGAGGCGCGAGCGGCGCCGCGCTCCCCAGGGACGGCCTCGACGGGCCCTCCGCGCGCAGCCCGCTCCGAGCGGCCCGGCGCGAGCTGGCTGCTCGGCAACTGCGCCAGCTCCCCATCCATCACGCCGCTGAACACACACAACAAAGGCAGCGCGGTGATGATTCCAGCATTATTACAATAATTATTCATACTGGAGGGAAGAGGGCTGCTAAATACCAGCACAGCTCCCTTTTCCTCATCTGCGAAATTGCTGCCAGTTTTGCCAGTATGAACTGCTGCGTAAAAGCGCAGTTTATTTAAGCATTATTGTGGCTGTTAAGTATCCTAGTCTGTGACACCAGATGAATTTCTGGGGTAATCAATTCACCCAGGAACAGCTAACTCAGCCCCTGCGTGGATATTGCATGAGTAAAAAGTCCTCGGTGGAAGCCATTAGCTCCCGCTGTTTAGCGCTCTCGTTACTTCTGAGGACGCAGGGCTGGCATCCTTGAGGAGCGCCCGCATCTGCATTTGACAGCATGAACTTGATGAGCAAAATTCACGTAAAATGTTTGCTTTGGCAGCAACTATCGTGCCCATAAAGTTTTCTCAAAGCAAACATGCAGGGATGTATGCTTTTAATGAGTTGTTTTATGCAATCAGGAAGAAACGGCAAACAGTGTTTTTATTCATGCTGCAAATCACTTTGAGCTAAACGCTGTAAAAATCACAGCATATTGTTTAAAATATTAAATTTGTGGCTATGGAAGGAAAGTTGTCAGCCACAGCTAAAAATGAAAGATGGCACAGAACGGAAAAGCGCCGCTCCACCACACGCACACGCGTGCGCCTGCACAGAGGGGCCCCCACAGCGCCGCGTTTGCGCACACGCATGGGGAACAGGGGAGGAGCGGCCGTTCCGTGGGCCTCGTGGAACCACGTGGGCCGGCCCTTCGCCTCGCAGGAGGCTTCGCTGGCGCGGGTGAAGGGCACCCATGCGCGGCCAGCAAGCGGCACGCGATTYGCAGGCCAGTTCCCAAAGCAGCCGGTGAGCAGGCCCTCCAGGAGCCAAGCGCGCCCATTCCTGGGGCGAGGAAGGAACGTTCCTGCACGATTCAGACTTGAGGGCCTCGGCGCAGGCCCAGCTCTCCCCAGCGCAAGACCAAGGCTGGCAGGTACGGTCAGCAGAGCGCCGCTGCCTGGGGCAAAGGGAGCTGCTCCAAGAGAGCAGCGAGGAGTCAAGGTATCRACTCCCTGCACCACCCAGCAAGCCGCACGGAGCGCGCGCCGCAGGAAACGGCACCACAAAGGTCCCCTGCTTTTCCTGGAGCTATTTTTCTAGTAGTCTTCAAGAAAGTGAGGGGAAACGACATGGGAAATGTCAGAAATAAAGCCAGGAGCAATTAGAGGCAGAGAAAAGCGAGCACAGCAGACAAGGTTAGCAGTAGTTATCTCTTAAAACATAAAATAGAGACTGAAAGCTGATGAGGCGACACAGCGAACAGATTGGCGATTAGGATTCCAGAATACACAGTGAAGAAATGCGCAAGGTGATTTGGGGAGAGAGAAGCGATCGCAAGGCTCCTATTCTCATTGCTACGCTCTCTACGGAAATAAAAAGCAGAGAGCTGCTTCTGAGATTATCTCCTGCTAGCTCCAGCCGGGGAAAGCGGCTCCTCCTCATCTTCCACGAAACCCAGATTGGGCTGTACCCGAGAAATATTTGTGATGCTTTAGCTAGCAGCAGTTCCTAGGGTCGCTATATCCCTGCAGATGCTCCAAAGACTCCATGCTTCTGTCCGCACCATGGACTGTGATGGACTGGCACAGTTTTGGTGGCAGCATGGAGACGCTTGAACAGATCACAGGGGCAGAGACCGCAGGGCAGGGGCAGTGCCAGGCGCTCAGGGACATGCGGCGTGGGCAGGCTCCTCACGAGGAACGCCGTGCGTTACCTTGGGAAGCCACAGAGCGAGGGGGATGCAATGGCAAACAGCTCCTGACGCAGGAGCCAGGGGCCTCCCCCAGCTCCATTGCACAGGCAAAACCTCATGTAAATCTTCACCTTTGGGGCTTGATCCCAAGCTCAAGAAAAGGCAAAAAGCCTCCAGTGACTTCAACAGGCTCCAGTAGGTTCTTCTCACATCACCTGTGCCCTGAGCGTAGCTCCCTTGACACCCAGGGTGCTGGGCAGGCTCCCTTGCCCCCCCTCACCAAAAGCAGCAGCCGTATTCCAAAGAGACCATGCCCGCAGCGCGGAGAAGCCAGGGCAGCTCCCTGGCGACAGCAGCTCCCGCCGGCTGCTCAGGGCTCTCATGCACGCTTGGAGAGAGGGCACTCGGGCATGCTCTGTGCCCTGGCAGTGGGGCTGCTGCACACTTGCAGCACACAAGGGCTTCAAGAGCCCATGCCAGGATGCTCCCCCGCACACCAGGGGACAAAGCAGGGCACACAAACCGCTCACGTACTCTGCACCGGTCTGACTTGTACTGCTCAAAACAAGGCTCTCATGCAAGGGGTCAGGGGAGCCCCAGGTCAGGCACAGCGCTCTGCCTTTCCCCAGGACCTCATTAATGCTCCACCACTTGAACGCTGTTCTGCTGAAGCACAATCAAAGCGAACAGAAACAGATATTCCCACAGCTTCAGGCAGATGCACACAAGGAAGGGATCAGCACTTCATAACTAGTGTTCTCGAGCCACAGTACCACAGAAATAACAAGATTTCAGCTCAGATGACTTCACAGCAGTAATAAAAGTGTTACATAACACTTTGCTTCTGTCTGCTTTTCTTTGCAATCCTCAACTAATCTATAAAACACATCCATCTGTCTGTCTGGGGATGCACTGCACGTACCCTAGCTGCTCCATTTCTTCTCTGGGGTCCTCTCCTGCCTAAAACACACCCTGCCAGCAAAATAGATAGGATCTCAAAACCTATCACCCTGTGGCACTCCCAGAATCACAGAGCCCAACAGGCAAGAGCCCAAGGCAAATCGCGCACAGTGTGGGCAGCCGGCAAAGCAGGGGCTCGGGAAGGCAGCACAGCGCTGCCACACTGGGAAGAGGACTGGCTGCTCTCCGAGCTCTTTGCTGCAAGCGGGTGAGCAGCTCCATGCACAGCTCTGCATGCACGGCAGCCCCGTGGTGGTGACAGCGGCTCAGGCAGTCCGGGTACTGCACTCAGCAGTGGGCAGCGCCGGGCAGGACGGGCACCCCGCACCACTCTACTCCTCTCACCGGCACAGAGCACGAAGGTGACCGGGGCCGACAGCGCCTACCTGCTTCCCCGGAGCCGCTTAATCCACATGGTGCCGCTTGACGCCGCGCGGCGCGGGGCTCAGCGCCGCAGCTCCCGGGCCATGCGGCCGCCCCGCGCCGCGGCAGCGCTCAGCGCC